AAACTTGGTGGGCAGATGATGAAGTCGTCACACCGATTTAGTTTCCCGATATATCGTCGTTGCCTATTGATACCATCATCCACCCACTGCAATAGACTCCGCACATCCCATCCTCTACTCTAGCACACGTCTTCAATCTTCAACTCCTTCCCATCATGCTCTCCCAGATCCAGCTTCAGCGTCCGCCCGAACAACTCCAGCAACATCTCAAAGCACACCTTGGTAATAGCAGGGTCATACCGTCCCTTGCTGAGCTCATCGCGAACAAAGGCGTCTAGTTATTGAACCCTTGTCAGCAACCACACCCTTCTATTCCTCCCCTTCCTAAACAGGTTAAAATGGAGAACCTACGTTGAGCCCAAGCCACTTCGTAAAAGCTAAACAAGACTCCCTTGTCATGAAGGGTCTTGCGGATCATATCCCTTCCCTCGGGCGGAACATGGGTATCATTCTTTCCAAAAATCTGCGACAACACACGAACAATCCTTCTCGTTAGCACTTCTTTTTATTCCCTCGCGCACGCAAAGCGGTCTTGAAATGATTAAAGGGCAGGGGGGTTTTTATCTCACCATGAGCATCTCGCCCTTGATATCCCCCGCCCGGGCCAAACTATCATCATTCTTCCCCAGCCCCAACGTCTTACTATGGATGTCCGTGGCAAAGTAGCACACCGCCGCTTTCACGCGGCTGTCCAACGCGCAGCGATACGCCAGATGTCCACCAAGGCACATACCCGTCGCACCTACACGGCCATTGCACGTGGGAAGTGACAGAAGATAGTCGACGCACAATGAGGCGTCCTCATCGTAAGCTGCGATTTTCTATAATAAAAATCCCTCAGCACGGCCTTGTCCATGTTTCACAACCCATACTGTAAATAAATAAAATCGACGAGAGAATTTACACACCTTGCTAATCTTCCACTGGTTGCCCTTATCCGTATCCTCGGCATCATACTTCAACGGCTCAGGACCCGTGAATTCATGATAACTCGAGGGCGCCGCACAGATATATCCCTGTCCGGCGATTTGGCGAGCAAATCGCGCGACGGGGCCAGTTACTATATGCATAGGTGTGATCAATAATCATATCATCTTGCCATAGAGAATCCTCCTGGCATTGACTTGAGAGATCGAGCTTGCGACCTACCTTGATAGATTTCACTAAAGACAACTACACCAGGGAACCGCGCCTTAGGATACCCGGGAATAGTAGGGTGGAACACATAAATGCCTGAATGGGGAACCAAGTCAGCAATGTTCAATTTGATGAAAGATCAGTAGACTCCCTCAAATGTAGCCGCAGCTACTGGTGGACAACCGGGGAAAAAAAAAATCTCAATTCCAATCTACTAATGGGTAACATACGCATAGTTCCATTGCCGTCCGCCTTGGTCGGCACATCATGGAAAGATTCCTGGATCAACATAGTGGATTAAGATGGCAATTGTCGTAGACAAGGCGTAGTATAGAACTATTCGATATTTGAAGGAGCTCAGGACAAGCAATAAATCATCAATTGATGTGTTCTATTCTGAATAGAGCGTTATGGCGGGGCTCAGTTGTTGTTGCGATAAGATTCCCGAAGATGGAGGGGTAGTCATGTGATTTGAAGTTGAGAAAGGCATTGGGATGACATCGTGGAAAGTCAAACCATTATATATGAGTAACTTGTGGTAAGGTGATGAATTGTACTTTGTTGGAGCTGCAGTTTGACCATATAATTGGTATCTGCCTGGTATAGATTAGGATACAGTGAGATGCTTGCTACCTATTGAGCGCAACTAGGTTCGGGAATACATGAAGAATGAAAGAAAATTGAACGGCGACGAATCGAGAAGAAAACAAGAAGCACAATCTAATAATGTACATAGAATGTTCATAATCTAACAGGGTAGGGTGAAATGCGATGTTCGAGGACTTGTCCTCATGCAGAACTAAAATCAAGACATAATGCATGTACTGCAGCGTAGTCGAGCCAGGACTCGAGCGCATGGATCGAGCATATAAAAGAGATTACAACAAGATATGGTAAGATCAGTCAAAAGCAATGAAGCTTTTAAATGGTAAGGCCCTACCTGCACCTTAGACCAGGAGATGTGAAATCCCCAGGTTGCGCTGCGAGGAGTGGGCTGGCGCGTCGAGACGCTTAGAAAACATACTAGCCATGAACATCAGCTGTCTGTCTGCGTTATCAACACTCGGCAGTTCACTTACCGGGATAAACAGGTAAGGCACCTGTCTCTCGTACTCCCTCCAGGCCTCGCCGTACTTGTTCCGGCAACGCTCGATATCGCGCATCGCACGGTGGGTGATCATGCAGGCGAAGAACAGAGGATAGAACCAAGGAAAGGGGCTGCTGAACCCAGTGATGAGACCCCAGTTAAGGGCAAAGTACAGGTCACAGGTGTAGTGGATCTTGCGTGCCTTGCCATCTGCAATATACGAGTTTAGCGCAATGTATGACAGGAAAGGTAAGATATGAGCAGCACTTACACCAGCCGTCGACGAGGATCTTCGAACCATCCTCAGCCGTAATGGTCTTGGGGTTCTTCAGCGTCTGCCAAGGCAGCTGAGGGAAGGTGCTGCGGAACACCATCGTTCCACGCTCTTGTTGGCGGTAACGGTTCTTCTGGCTGTTGGTCGTATCCCACACCCAGTACACAAAGAGGTAGGCAATGTAGAGGAATGTGAGGAAGTAGCGGTTCCAGTGGTACGTGGCCGGGTCGTGGTTGGCCAGGTAGATTGTGCAGTGACAGTAGCTCAGAGGAACACCAGCGAGGTTCCAGAAGATCAGCATGAAACCCCATTTTTCGTAGTACATATCCCTGCAAACTAATCAGACTGTGACACACTGTCGCAAATTTCGAAGAAGTACCTACCAAGTAGACACAATGCACTCTTCACCCTTAGAGCAGGCGTTCGCGTACAAGAAGTGCGCCATGAGAAGGAAGCCAACTTCTCCAGAGACGTAGCCATAGACTTCATACTGTCTGGCCGCGGCACCCAAGGTAACGAAGAGCAGAATGTACCAGGGAAGGCGAACTTCAAAGAACATCTTAAAGTCCAAGATCCCAAACATTCTGGGGTTAAGCTCGGCACCCATGAAGAAGTCGTAGACATGGTGACCGGTCATGCGATGTTGCGCCCCGCGTGCCAATGCCGAGAAGTAGGCCACGAAAGCAACAAGGAACCCAGAAAGGATAGCGACGCTCATAAGAGGGCCAAACTCGTCAATGATAGTGTACAGCTTGAAGATACCAGTAACATGAAGCAGGGAGGCCAGCACAATGGTGGTGTAGAAGGACCAAACAGCAGAGCAGTAGTAGGGCAGCTGCTTACCTCCCAAGTGCGGCAGAGGACGACCCATCACAGTGATGCCGGGGAGACACAGGTAGCAGATTCCCTCGAAGATGAAGAATACCCAATAAATAGTCCATGCCTTGAGAGACGGGAAAGCACCTTCGTATACCAGGTGGCCCAGATGCGCAAAGAAGTCCGCCATACTCTGTCCATCGGCCGGGCGAGGAAACTTGCCATCGTAGTAGGTGGCACCAATCCACATGTAGTACATCAGTAGCGGGAATCCGATCATCATGGACGCTACACCGAACGAGCCTCCAAATTCAAAGTGGCCGCTGTAGTCGACTTTGGGGTCCTTCCCTTCTTCCCAACCATCCACAATCCGAGCCTTCTTGACACCAGAGTTCTCGGCATGACCATTGGTCGCGAATGGCTTTGACTCTTCCTCCACAGGTTCAGCCTTGATCTTGACAGAAGTGCGTCTCCGGGTTGTCGACTTCGATCCTTCAGCTGTTGAGTCGGAAGGTTCCTCTGACAGTCTGGCGCTGGCGCTGCGGGTTACTCGGCGGCCAGGTGTCTCGATGAAGCCGGGTCGCTCCATTTTCCTAGAGGAATTGATCGACCGGTCAGCCAAAATCAATTACAACAAGCAGAGTGAAAGGTTTGCATGCGAAGCGCAATTGGCGTAGACCGATGATAAGGTAATTCACGACTGGGGTTCCTCACTCGGTCCCTGGTTCATCGTGCCTTCTCGTTCTCTCCCATGGAACTCTCACTCCCTTGCGCAATTAAGTGACTTACTTTGGGGTTTTCCCCGTTTGGGATCGAGTGACGGTCATTGTGTGCTGACCATAAGAGGCCTCAGGCCAAGGGTTCTATAATTGATTGAGTATAAGTGAAGGGAAGAATGGGCGCAATTGACGCGAGGAAAAGGGTTAGGGAGATGAGGGAGAATCTTTAGGCGGTCGCAAGAACAACAACAACATTCAGGTTGGGGATGCACTAAAAGGGAGTGGGTGCGTTGCCCGCTGCGGCAGGATCATCGTCCCTGGAGCTTATTACTGCAACCAACAATAATACTACCCGCGGAAGGCTTGTACAATCCCACAATAATGAAAGGGGCAAAGGGTCCAACATTAAGCACGGACTATCATAAGACGAACGGATTAATTTATTCGATCAATAACTACTAGTACTATCAGGTCATACAGAAGGGTCATGGCTCGCTGGCTTCAACCCATATTTTACCAACAAAAACAGACAGGAACAGCAGCCATCCGATATTTAGCATATCACGAAAGCATTCCACGTCTTTGAACTGTCATGCATATAGCCCCACAGAAAGCCACATGCATTCTTTGAGATGAATTCAGCAATGTTTGTACAAACATCAATATGTTTTGGTATATGAGGGATGCGTGTGCATTGGCGGAAGAGCAGTAGTGGGTATACTTTTTCTGCTAATGAAACCCGTGCCTTAATCGTCTGCCGTACAGCACGTGCCTGAGGCTCCGGTCGGCCGCCAAGGCATGACATACTCGCCCCTCCCTCAATCTGCCTCTCCTCTTCCGCTCTGCCTCTACTGCTTTTCACGATAGGGGAAGCTTCAGGGTTCTGGTGCTTCTCCTCTCCTGGTGCTGCCCTCGGGGCTTCTGTAGCCCTTATATTTAACTTTTATTGTTCGACTTTACCTGGCTCAATCACAATCCTCCGCCTGCCTCAGTCGGAGACTGTACCGCAAGTCTAGTCATATCTCCGCATTTTCCTTCATAACTGCTTTTTTGCCCCCGCCATACGAAGGTACTTTCACGCCTTTACCTTAGAAGGCAGATTGAATAATGTCGGGCAATCCTAGTCAGATTCCTACCACATCTATGAAAGCGGTGAACATTCCGAGTCAGCCAGCCTCTGCGACATTTACTCCATCGTCATTCGATAGCGGCTCTCCGCGGTCTCAGCGGCGCCCGGGAGGTTCTGGCAGCTTTGGAGCTGGCTTGACATCTCAGGCTAGGAACTCAGGCTCTCCTAGGCACAATCAGGCTCTTAGGAGTCAACATAAACGACAGCGGCGTCCTCGATTGCTGGATGATGAGGATTATAGCGAATCGGTACGTATCTCGAAGTCCAGGGAGCGGCTACAGCTACACCACCCTCACTCCAGCCACATCATACTGCCATAATTCCCTCCCTTGTATCACCCCTACCTGATGCTGTTTGTGGATCCTTATGCGAAGAACTCTGGGAACTTTCCTTGGGATTCCCTGGACATCGTATACGCGAAGGGCTTACATAAGATGCTTCAAGAGGGGCCTGCGCATGCAAGATAATTTGGGAGTTGTAGCAAGAGTGCAAAAATTGTGGCTGCAGTCACTCACTATGACTTTAGTTATGTCTTTTGCTAGCCTTATCCACTGACTCATCCCTCTCCGCAGGCCATCATGAGATCCACGACCAGTCGCAAGGGACAGACGTCCATCACTCATCTGATGAACTTCTCCCTTCCCCCTCGTCCTCAGTACCATCCTCCACCCCGTAATACTCGCCGCTATACGTCTTGGGGTCCAGGTTCCGGCTATCATGCCATGGACAAATTTCGCTACGTTCATGCCAACTATCGTTTTATCGTGACGCCGAATCGCAACTACCATGCACAAGCGGCCAATGCTGATGTCCATCTAGACTGGGACTCAGTTATGCAGGTCTTGGTTTCAGAGCAGACGCAGTCAGCTAGTTGCCCCATCTGTTTGTCCACGCCGGTAGCGCCACGGATGGCTCGTTGTGGTCATATATTCTGCCTTCCTTGTTTGATTCGCTACATGCATTCGAGTGACGAAGAAAAACCGGTTCCTGAGAAGAAGCCACGTTGGAAAAAGTGCCCCATCTGTTGGGACTCTGTGTACATTTCGGAAACTCGGCCTGTGCGATGGTTTCGTGGCCAAGAAGGGGACCTCCCTTTTGAGGGGGGTGATGTCGTACTAAGGCTAGTGAAAAGAGAGCCTGGAAGCACTTTAGCACTGCCACGGGATGGAGCTGAGGGGATTGCGCCAGATGAGGATGTCCCGTGGTATCATGCTGCGGAGGTGGCTGACTACGCGCGCATAATGAAAGGAGGTGAAGACTATATGAAAGAACAGTACGACATTGAAATTGATGAGCTCCGCAGGCAGGAGCTTGAGGATGAGCTTCTATTTGGGGACGATACTACTTGGACACGGAAGGCGGTTGCAGCGATTGCAGATGCCAAATCCAAGGTAGAAGGTATAGGGAATCCGCCTGAGATTGTGCGACAGCCCGTCCCAAGCCAGGAGCCAAGAGAACCCGTCGCTGCACACTCACCACCAGAGGAGGTTGCTGCCATGTATGCATCGCAGCATGCTATCAAGTCAGGCCAAAGTTCGTCTGCGGAATCCATTCCCGCGTCAGATACTGGGCCTGGTTCGGCCTCCACTCCGGAGACGTCCAATGATGTGGATCGTACATCTGAAGCTTTGGGCCAGGTTGACTTGAATACAACTTCTACTTCGAAAAAGAAAAAGAAGGATCCTGGACACGGCCGAAATAACATGCCCTCAAAGCGAGGTCTTACTACCTCTGACCATGCGTTCTTCTTCTACCAAGCTCTACCACAATTCTACCTTTCGCCCTTGGACATCCGCATCCTGAAAGCTGCATTTGGTGATTACTCTTCGTTTCCGGCCACCATTCTTCCAAGGGTTGAGCGTATTTCAAGCGGTCATATTGTGGACGACGAGCTACGCAAACGTGTCAAGTATCTCAGCCACTTACCGCAAGGTTGTGAGGTGAATTTCCTTGAGTGTGACTGGAGAGATGTAGTTGTACCGGAAGTGCTAGAGACTTTCAAGTCCGAAACTGAAAAGAGGCGGAAGCGCAACAAGGAGAAAGAGGTGCGAGAAGAGAAGGATCGCATTCGAGCGGAGAAAGAAGAGGACGAAAAGCGCTGGGCAGCGGCGCGCCGGAAGAGGCCTAGCATTGGCCCCATCGATGAACCTCCCTTCTCCGACCGCGATTTCCAGCCGTTATCGGGCTCTGCTGGTGAGCCTTCTGGCTTTGATATAGGTTCTTCCTCTGCCTCGCCTCCTCCTTCCTCGAGCCCCCCCGGATCTCGTACGGTGTGGGGAACCGTGGCCGCTCCGACACTTTCGGCTCCATCGAGCTCACAAGCCCCTGCCGATGGTTGGCTGCAGGGCTGGGAAGAGGAGCTGTGGGCCCAGCAAGAAAGGGAGCTTATGGCTCAATCGGCTGCTGAGGCGAATGCTGCGGCCTCTTCCTCTGGCGGGAAAAAGAAAAAGAACAAGAAAATTACACTTATGTCGACCAATATCCAAAGAGGGGCATAGAAGGTGCGACTACCCTTGCGTCTTCGTCCACCAGCTCCTGGTGATCTACTTCATCGTTTACAATCTTTTCTATACGGTACTCTGTGGATTTTTGTCAACTATATCACGAATATTATGTTATAATCATATGTGGGGGGTTGTTTGCAGATACATTCTGGGAAGAGCATGGGTCAGGAGTCGAACGTGTTTTTATGAATTTTGATGGCCACATATGTGTACCAATTACAACAAATAGATAAAAATGATAAACAGCTAGATAGATGAACCTTTTCTGTTGGGCTCTTCCGGAGTCACGGCGCGTCTTTCCAGATGGAAGGTGCTAGTAACCTAGCTCTCTTTCCTAATCAGGACAATACAGTCTCAGGAGATTACTGATCGGAGAGAGGCATGGAGAAGATGAGAAGTTTGATCATGATCCAACTCATAGTAGACTACTACAAGCTTACCTGTTATTATTATTCAAAGGGTAAGTATACCTGATTCAAAAAAGAACGTAACATCTGGTGAGGCTCTGTTGGGTTTGTTGGTGAATCTCCAGGGCCGGCGATCCTGCCGCAGCGGAGCCTCAGGCACGTGCCGTCCGCCAAAAAAACATCATCCATCTCAGCTCCAGCAATCCACCCACTTCCCCCCGATTGTGCTGTCCGGCCCTTTACCTCTTTCTTCACCACCTCCCTTTCTTATCTTACTGGCCTGCTTTATTATCTCTCCGGCCTCACCTTTCATCTACATATCCTTATAACTTGACCCCGCGTTCTGCACCAGGTTCGTACCACGTCTCGCCCAACCAACCCTTCCCCGATCTTTTGCGCAACGTCCAACTTGCGTCGTACACCACGCTGATCCTTCGAGCACAAATAGGCGCCAAGCTTCGGTCTACAATTACCTTATCTTAGCTTCCAGTGTCCCGCCCGGGGCGTTAGGATGGCTGCTTAGACGGGTGCTCGCCCCCCAGTCTGCTTCCTTTCGCTTCTTGACCTCGTATGGCTCCCATTGAGGCAACGCGTGGCTGAATAGTCAAGGCGACTCTACGACTGCCTGGACATGATGAACCATCATATGCCCGCAATGCCCCATGGGCAGCCACCCATGCCTACTCCTCGTCGACAGCAAGATGTTCCTTACACTGCAGCTCCTCCCAACATGCGATCCCCTCCTGCCTACATGGGGTACCATCCCCATATGAACGGCCACCCTCCCCCGGCCGCATACTCGCCCCAGCAATACCCTCAATGGTACCCACCTTATCCTGCCATGCAGCTCCCTCCACGCCCATACCAACACCCTTACGGACCGATGTATGTGTCTGCCTATCCGCCCTCTCAGCCTATAATGGCGCCGGCCCATATTCCTCCCGTGTCTCTTCCCATGCAGCCGAGGACCTCCACTCCTTTACAAAGCACCATGTCTCCGCCTGTCGGACTTCCTCCTTTGCCTATTACGACTCAGGCACAGTCTCCCGCCACTGTGCCTGTGCACCCGGCGCCAAGTTCCGCTGTGTCTTCGTCCCCCGCTCCTGCTCCTGCAAAGGTTTCTCCTGAGCCCAGGGAGCCTTTCCGTCCACCGGTAAGTGGTATAGACTGGCACGCACTCAGTACTTCGCCTGACATGAATCACCAGCTACCTTGGCTTTCCGTTCCCGACCATCCTTTCCCTGCTCGGATTCCGGGCAGACGTAGGAAAAGCCGTCTTCTCCCTACGTCATCCGTGTCCGTCGAGCTTCCAACCAAGGAGCATCACCGGGCTGACAAGCCTGAGAGACAAACCGAAGTTCAAAGACTGGAGCCGGAACAGTCGCCATCGGAACCCCAAACACCAACCTTGTCCGCCGCGCCATCAGTTGCGAATTCTACACAACCCACAACTCCATCTTCAGTTGCACAGAACCTCCCTCTGCGTCCTCAGTCGCAGTCCAAGGGAGCTAAACCGACGATCCCGGTAGTCCCCGTGGTCCCAGTCGTCCCGGCGCCTAGTACTCCTCGTCAGGCTACCAAGGATGAGTCGAGTCGCTCGTCGGAAACCCCCAAGTCGGTCAGTGGCACAGCTCAGGAGAAGACAAATGAGGACACTCAGGAGTTGTCCCAGACTAAGACGGAGGAAGCTGTTAAGCAGGCCTCGCCTGCCCCTGCAGCGCCAAAGTCGTGGGCGGATTTGGTCCGGTCAAAAGCACTCGCTAAAGGAGCGAGTGCTCCCAACACGTCCCCTGCTGTGTCAAATGGCGTTATCAAGCCCAAGAGCGAGTCTCTGGCCGACGTCTTGACGACACTAGGAGACGACGTGTCACAGTATAGCGATAAAGTTGCCTTTCTCCAACCCAGAGGACTCGTGAATACCGGCAACATGTGCTACATGAACTCCGTATGTTTACCCAAGCTGCCAGCACGAAGTGCTACTAGCTAATTACTTTCCTCCAGGTGCTCCAAATCTTGGTTTCCTGCGTGCCGTTCTACCAATTCCTGGATCATATTGGACGGAGGGCGTCCCACAGTTTCAACAGCGACTTTCCGATGATCGACGCATTGTGAGTAACCTGATTTTCTCCATCCTCAGTTCCTCGGCGTTCTTCTTGTCGTTATTTGTTAGTCTTGCTAACCCCTCAAAGGATCATGTTCATGAGAGAGTTCCGCATCATTGATGCTGCACACACTGAGGAACAGCTGAAGCTCAGGCTGAAACCAAACGAGCTCGAGGATTACGGCGAAGCCTTTGTTCCGGAATTTGTTTACGAGGTCATCAGGCAATTGCCACGCTTTAGGGACATGCGGGTAAGTCTGTTTCATTCCCTAATTCATGGGTCCATGCCAGCTAATACGTAAATTTTTCATGAATACAGAGAGGCCATCAGCAAGATGCCCAAGAGTTCTTGGGCTTCCTTTTGGAAGAAATGCACGAAGAGTGCAATCGTGCCGCAAAAGATGCCCCCGCAACTACCTCGGCCTCTGCAAACCCCGAGGCAGAGGTTGCAAATGAAGAGTCCGGCGATGGCTGGTTGGAGGTCGGTCACAAGCAGAAGGCTGCTGTTACGCGCTCATCTGGCCATATTGCTTTGGAATCGCCAATTACGAAGATCTTCGGTGGAAAGATCCGGTCAGAGTTCAGGGTGCCTGGTAACAAGACTTCTGTGACCCTCGAGCCCTACCAGCCACTTCAGCTTGACATTGGAGCTCCTGAGATCAACAATATTGTTGATGCTCTCAAAGGACTCACCAAGCCGGAAAGCATTCAAGGGGACTTCAATTCTTCCCGCGGTCCCAATGTTACAGCGACCAAACAGATCTTCATTGAAACTATGCCGCCAGTTCTTATCCTCCACCTGAAACGGTTCCAATACGACAGTGTGACCAGAGGCACCCAGAAGATCTGGAAAAAGGTTGGATACCCGCTCGACCTGGAGATTCCTCGCGAGGTCTTCCCGCCCAACAAGCGCAATATCATGATGGCGCAGGGTGGCCTGCCTAAGTATCGCCTCGTCGGCGTCATCTACCATCACGGCAAGAACGCTAGTGGCGGCCACTACACCGTCGATGTCCGTCGTCAAGACGGACGTGAATGGATCCGTTTGGACGACACTCTTATTCGTCGGGTTCGAAGTGAGGATGTTGCGCAGGCCGGGGGCGAGGAAGACCCCAAGGTTCTTGCGGCGGCGCTCGAGCAACACAAGCGTGACGGACCGAATGCCAACATCTTTGATCATATTGACCAGGACGACTTGGAGCAGTCCGATAACGAGAGGGGCTGGAGCCAGGTCAACGGCACCAGCGGCCATTCAAGCAAGAAATCAACCTCAGGTGCAGCTTCAGCACCGTCTTCCGGGGTCCGCACTCCTCTTGGACGGTATGGATCCCGAGACAACAAGGTGGCTTACCTGCTATTCTACCAACGCATCGATTGATTTGGCATCTTCTGGAGAGAGTCAATCTCCAGGAGCGACCGGTGAACTATCAAGACGAGAGAGAAAACCAACAAGCGCAATTTGCTTCTTTACATCCTCCCGTCCTCTCCTTATTTAGGGAGAGGTCACAGCATTCCAATGCTGCCTGGTGGTACGCCTACTGTGTTCTGGCGCCTACCCAAACACGTATCAACCATATACACTAACTCAATTTTTGTCTGTCGACTGCGCATACAACATGACATCGACCCGGCGGTTCATTAGAGGTCCGTGTTTTCACCGACCATCAAGGGTCTCTGCTGCGGAAGTGGAACGGATCTTCGGGGAGTTGTTGGGCCCTTCTTCCCGACTATCCAGACAACTTCCGTCGCGCAAGGACCCCGTCTTATTTGCTCGCGTTTGAATCTACACCAATGGTGGGCATTTCCCAGACCATTGCTGTATGCTTTGCTTTTACTTGTCATTATCTTCCCTGTTCCCTTCCGTGTTCCTGATGACATTTTCCCTGTAGCTTATCCATCTATCTCGCTTATGATCTTGTGTGTTCGCGGTGCTGTATCTGGTGAGATGTCGCTCTGATATATACCCCTAGTTTCCTCGCATAGCCCCTTGGTTTGCCTCGCTGATGCAGATGGGTTTTTTCTTGATGTGGCGTGGACGGGTTTATAACGACTGCATGATTTTCCTTTTCTCCCCCAATAGACATGTCTATCCAGAAAAAAGAAGGGCTGTGGAATTTTTGGTCGGCGGCTGGCGTGCATGCTTTATTTTGAACGAAGTTGGAGATGAGGAGTCCGGAGGATGGTGATGAGCATGATACAACAACGCCTTATGATGGAGTTGAGTTCAGGTCAAATGATGGGAACTACTGTTGATTTTCTTTGACTCCCAGATGATTTTGGGCCAGTTGTGGTGCAGCAGATCCGCCTATCATGGCTGGTTATTCTATGTCTTTTTTTCCCCCTTTTCTTCATGTTTCTTTTTTGCACCATCACACACAAACCTTCGTTTCAACACAAATCACACATATTTTTCCTATACTCTCACTATCATATTAATGACGAGATACGGCGGATTGCAAAATAGGGTGGTCATCAAAATCAAGGCATGGTTTAGGGTGGGATGAATATTTATTTATTTGTTGATCTATTTCAGGCACGACTTGATAAAAAAGCATCATGTTTAGGCAATATTACTATATCTAAAAAATTATGGGCTTCCATTACTTCAACTAGTAGTAGTAGTAGTAGTCACCACCCACACCATCACGACAGTATGTATAGTATTCAGCTAACTAGTAGTCTATGTAGTGAACTAAGGTCTAATGAATCACTGTCACTAGATGCTGACTAGTAGGTAGAACGTCACCTTTATACAGTATCACTTCTCTCCCACACACATCATCATCCCATCTATACACCACCCCATTCATCTCTATACACCGTCCATCCATCTCTATACA